GTAGTGTTGCGGTGCAAAATCTGCCTGAATCGGTACGACAGGATGTGACACGAAAATGGTAAGACCCGAAATTGTGGTGATCCAAAAAATATATGTCTATACCATTTTTGAGTAGCAATGTCTATTCATATATTCTGTGAACTCGGCTGTGGTTGTGGTATTTCCAACCGTTGATACATTTATTTGAAATTTCCTTCCTTATCGACCTATTAGTCACATTTGATTCTATAAAAAATCTAAAAGAATCATCAGATTAGAAATTGCCATTCCAACATTGATTTATTAATAAAATGTTTACAATATTCTGTGTGTTCCTACAATGTTGTTCTAAACAATTAAAAGAATGAGTGCAACATTCATTATTTTATGAACTACTCGATGTAATGAACTTGAAATCGATAACAGCGCTTACGCTGTTCATTCGGCTATTTTCGTAAATTATTCGGAGATAACCGAACGAATATAAATGAGAACAGTACTAAAAACATCAAGTCCGAAGAACATTGTAAACAGAAACAATTAACCTTGATGAAAACATACGGTCATTCATACAATCATAAACAAGGCCACTTTTTTCATTAGTCAAGTAGTTCTAGTACAGACAGCCGCGAACGTGGTTTACCACAATGGCGCTCTTCGTGAGAACTGCTAAGTGCGAGGTACGTTCAATGCCTTCATTTTCCTTTGATTATTACACCTCGTTTTGAGATTTTTCAGTGAAAACAATGTTTCAGTGAAATGATTTATTTAAGTTCTACACTTCATCTATTTCATACTATGAAAACAAGTAAATGTTTATTTCAATTTTCGATGCTAAAATTCGATATATAATGCAGGTATTTTTTTCTTTAAATTTTATTCGGTTCAATTTATGATTTATATTCTTTGCAATAATCAACTAAAAAATAGATAGAAGTATTGTGATATATATGTACATATTTTTTTGAGAAATTTATCGGCTTCGAAAATATCTTGAAATTAAGGTTAGGAATGAGGTATTCGAAACATAGTCGAATGAATTAAATAACTGGTTATAGGATTATAGGATCAATCAAATTTTGAAGTGGATGCGTAATCATATGTGATTAAATTATTTCTATACAAATTTATAAACTTCAGTGTATAAATTGAAACACAAAAGAACCGAAAAGAAATCAAAATTTCTAGTTATTGTAAAATAAAGTGAAAATTTTTTGCTAATAAAAAGATTATATTTCATTTATATTTTATCTTTTATATTTTATTTTTCTTTTGTTAGAAAGACACTTATTCTTTTCTTTTCTTTTCTTTTTCGTTAATCATTTTTGATTAATAAATAAAGTTAAAAGTTAAAATGTAGTTAAATACTCCTTTTTATATTTATAATATTTATAAATTGTATATACTTCATATTATGTAATTTAGTTTCGTTTAAATATTAAATTTAATTACACACAGAACAATTTTTCTATTTTTTAAACGTTAAAGATATTTTATATTTAAAATATATTTATATACAGAGTTATTTATATATAAATATTACATTTATTTATATTATATTTAATAAATATATATAATCAATATAAAATGATATATATTTAACAAAATCCCATTAATATGATTCAAATATTAATCGAATACGCGTCACAGAATAATCATTCAGACATGTAATTTTAATTTATCATGAAGTTTTCTCCTCATAGTTTCGCAACATATCGACATATCACTAATTTTCAGTTGATGGTACCATAATTTATTCTTATCGTGAATTACACACATTTTATATCGTCTTGTATTATTTTTGTAAATACCAATCATGTTGCGTTATTGCTCCTATTCTTAATATCCTATTCATTTATCACAGATGTTATCAGTACATTGTTTTACTCTTAATATCAACACACGTCTATTTATATAAAATGTTAAGTAAAATATGAATTTTTTATTTAAGTATTAACTCCTTGACATAAAATTATGAATTTAGGACAAAAATAATAGGACATAAAATTATGAATTTCGCACAAGAAACGTATAATTTTTTTATAGTATAAGATACTTTCATACATAATAAAAAAATGTAGAAAAACATGTTTCACAAATTCTCCTATCAATCTTTGTCTTTATCAATTCGTATTGAACAACATACATTATCTAGTTGAGTTTTCTTTATTGTTGTACATAACAATTTGTATACATTTTATAGGTAACTTAAAAAAATAATAACTTAAAAAATTATTATTAAAAATACTTTAGCCAAGTTTTACGTGGAATAAACTATTCGATACTTGATACTCTGTCTGAGTTTCACTTGGAATGATTAATTGTTAATAGGTTAATTAAGGTTTTATTTAAAATGTGTAATAATTTTGAATGTTTAATTAAATGCGAAATGCAAATGTATAGAATCCATATAATAATAATAACGAAATAATAACGATATAATAACGAAATAAAATTTGAAAATAATGATAAAGGAAACGAATAGTTCAAAGACTATTGTATTTAGAACTGTATAGAAGACTATATAGTATTTGTAAATATAAGTAGCTAAATTATTGCTTTACAACCATCAGCTCGATTAAAAATTTTATTACAATATTTGCATTGCTCCGGTTACAGAACATATTTAAAGAATATTTGTAGCAATAAATTTTTTCAAAAGAAAAAAAATTTTAATTTAATTCTAATCTCAAATTATTTACAAAATTTGATATTTCATTGTTGATAAATATGACTGAAAATACAGTAAATCGAACGGATAAAAAATTTTCTATTTTTTATATTAATATAGCTTAAATTCGTAAGAGAGAAAAATTCTGTATGTTATTTTTTAATGTAGAGAAATCTTAATGTGTCATTCATTTAACTCTCATCCATTCTTATATTTCAAGTTGACATATCTTTCTTATAAAATGTCATATTATATAGTTCTAATATATAACACATAATATAATTAAGATTCGATACATAAGATGTAATATGTATTTTTAACATATTCGATAAAAAAATATATCTCCAAAGTTGCATATAATATTTATTTTCAAGCTTTCTTGACTTGACTTGAAGTAATGACATAAAATGATCATAATATAAAGAAATCATAGAACGAAAATGAGATATGAAATTGACTTATGGTCATTATAAGAGTAGAATATAAAAATTTGGTCTATTTATTGTTAATGAAAAATTTTACGAACTCAGTTATTTATTTTTTTCATTGTAAATATTGTTAATTATTTACGATTGTGTTAAATTGACACCAAAGGACAAATTAAGTTGGAAAAATGAGGTACAGATGAGAAAAAAGCCATCGTAAATGTCAATCCTGTTTCCAAGATTAGAAAATTAAGATATTCCATTAATATATTGTTTTCATCATTGTATCAATTAGAATATATTATAAAAATATGTATTATAAATACATCAATTTGGACAGAATGAAGTGATATTTGACGTTTGCACATAGTGTTTTCTTTTCAATTTTTCTACAGAGACGAGTTTGAATTACCAGTATAAAGAAAAATTTTATTTATGTTGTATACTACAGTATTCTTATTGACACGTAGAGCATTTTTTAGTTAAACAAATCATGCAAATTTTAGCATTTGCAACTTCTTATCCTATCCTTTACAAGGATTTTTCATTTAAAGAAAATTTTTTGAACCACGCTGTTCTCGAAGCAGTTGTTGACTATGTGTCTTCGTTCCAATTGAGTTGAATTACGACCCCAGAATCACCGAGACCAATAGTGCTCGTAAAGGGGAATGTCATTATCAATCTTGTGTAATAAAGCTTGCATACTTTACGTAACTAGAGCTGAATCGATTTGCCTGTTAGAAGAGTATCATGTCAAAGCGATACTTATCATATGTGGAGCAAACAATGGCTTCCGATAGATTTCTTATCGTGATCTTACTCACTTGGAGAACCAGGCCAATTGAATGAATTTATTCTGTTGCTGCATTTAAGCTTTCTTGAGAAAGAAACATGCGGATTTTCGTGCAAGTGATACGTTTACGTGATGTCTGGGATATAAAATTAGTAATGAATCGTGAATCATAATGACGTTGCTTTTCGTTTGTTGAGGGTTTACTGGTTCAAATAGAAAGATAATTATGAAACATACAGTTTGTATAAAAAAAAATATTTGTTTCATAATTTTCGTAATTTTTTATTATTGAAAAAATTTATTGACATGAAATTACAACTAGAAATTGATTCAAAGAAACATGATGCAAAAAATTATAATATAAAGATGATTTTAAATTTGTATTTTTGAAAATTTGTAATTGCGCTACAATTAAATGATATTGCTACCTTTGAAAATTTTTTAAAATAGATATATAGATATGTTATTATTTTTATCTTCTTTCACAAGGACATTAAATATCAAATTATTGTATTTCAATTCTAAATATTTTAGATCAATATTTATCACTTCCTTTAATACATTGCTACATTATAATTTTGAGTAATTATAATTGCAAATGATATGATAAATAGAGGTCATAGATTCGAATATTTTACAATATAAAATCTGATAGAGGTCATAGATTGGAATATTTTACAATATAAAATCTGCACCGACAATTCAAATTTTTTATTACAATATCTAATGTTCTTCGTAAAATGTTTCTATATAATCTTATGGACATAGGATTTCATTCTTTTTAAATACTGATAAATACTATATAAATTTCGTTACTTCTTTTTCATATCTAATCAAGAATTGTTTAACATTAACTCAATGATATTTTAGGCACAATTTATCGCAAGGACTTACAGCACTAGCGTATCAACGGTTAAGATGTACATTGATGGCCAATTTGTAGGTAATTATTTTATTGTATTAAAAATATAATTTATCGAATGTGCAATAGTATGTGAAAATAAAAGTTCTTAGTAGAAGTCGGCATGGATTATAAAAAAACAAAAAAACGCAGAAATAACAGAAGTTAAATTGTAATTAAGTCGACATTCTGAAATAACAAATCAAATATGAAGCAACGTTTACCCATTTTCAACGCATCTATTGAAGTACTGAAACGTGTGTTTGCTTCGTTGAATTGATTCATTCACAATTCAATTGCCAGAAACTAAGACTGCTAAGACCGACATTATTGAGAACGGGAGAACGCGCAATCTTGATGGAACAGATAAGTATTCGCTTTGAAACACTCTTGAGCCTATTTTTTTTCGTACGATACAGCCTGTTATGAATATTTAAAGCATGCTTTTAAAGGCTTTTAATTGAAGTCCGTGATTCATGGAGAAGTAGTACTGGAGCACTCATTGAAACTGTACAGAAAAGGCGATATTTCGAATCGAATTCAACTCTAAGAATTGTTTTAACAAGGAACGTTTATAAATAAAATAAATGGCACTAATTATATAGATGTCATTGAAATTAAATGGAATAATTGTGTTGTGTTTTGAATAAAAGCAGTATGGGAAAAATACCAATACATGTCACATTTACAGTAAAAGCGGAATATACTCTTTTTGTAATATCTCTC